AGCGGCAGCACAAGAGTACGGAAGACGTTTTCCTGGCAGGAGAATCCGAAACCATCAAACATTTTCCTCAACTTATAACATTTTACGAGAGACTGGTAAATTTCCTTCGATCGATATTCGTGTTGAGAGAAATGTTCAACATAACGGGCCTCAAGAAGAAAATATTCTTGACATTGTACGTGAAAATGCAAAAACAAGTACAAGGCGAATAAGTGCACAGTTAGTTCTGCGACCAAATACCCAGGCTTGCATTTTCCCGGTGGATCACAAGCCACAGGAGGACTGTTTTTCGTACGTTATTTACCGATGAAGCCCAGTTTACACAAGACGGTATTTTTAATACAAGAAATTCTCATGTGTGGGCAAATGAAAATCCGCACACAGTAAGACAAGCCCATTCCCAACATAAATTTTCAATCAATGTTTGGTGTGGTTTGATAAATGATTCGTTGATTGGACCTCATGTATTTCCTCAAAGGTTAACGAGCCTCGTTTATTTGGATTTTCTGCAGAATATTTTGCCTGGTTTGATGGAGAACATTAATTTGAGAGGAATACATTTCCAGCATGATGGCGCTCCGCCTCATTTTGGCGTTGACGTCAGAGAACACCTTGATTACCGATTTCCAAATCGTTGGATTGGACGAGGAGGGCCACTCCCTTGGCCAGCTAGGTCCCCAGATTTTAACCCACTAGATTATTTTTTGTGGGGACATTTGAAACAAAAGGTCTACAGCGATCCTATTGGAAACAGAGAGCAGTTATTGAACCGAATTGAACATTATTGTGAAGAAATCAAACAAAATCCTCAAATGATTCGAAATTCAATCGGAAATTTGTTAACTCGAGCACAAAAGTGCAGGGATGCTGGTGGAATGCATTTTGAAAATATAATTTAATTTTTTTATAAATTTTCAAGAGATAAAATAAATAAATGGAATGTTTCTCGAAAAGCAATATTTTATTTAAAACATACTTCAAATGTGCCAAACGTGTTATTAACATTTTTCTGTTCATTAATCCATGTTGTTTCAGGAATAATGAGCAGATATCGAAAATTCCAATGTACAGGGTGTCCTATCTGTAAGAGACGATAAATTGAAATTTTTCAAGTCCGGGCCTGGAATTTGGCGACTCTTTGTACTCCAGAAAGTTGACATTGATTAGTAGACTAAGTGTATAAAATTTGAGGAAATTTGATCAAACGACTGAAAAGATACAGAGTGAATCAATTTTGGCCAAAAATGAAAAATGACCCTGTATCTTAGTAATTACGTCGAATTGACCAATATAAATATTCATTATTTAATGGCAGAGGTATGTCCTATGTACACCATAAGTATGTACAGTGGCTCGTGAATCACCCTGTATATCACTAATTAAAATTTATCAAAAAAATGGGCTCAACCGGGATTTGAACCCGGGACCTCTCGCACCCAAAGCGAGAATCATACCCCTAGACCATTGAGCCGCCATGATTTGATAGCTTGAAAAAACACACTACCATCACCATAGACATACATACGGCATTGAAAATTACAACCGAATCGGACTATACTTTCTCTTCGCTGCTTTCTTCAGCGACAGACTGAGAGACCAAGCGATCAGACGATCGCGATCGTGACTCCGTAATCTACTTCAAACATGCTTCAAATGGCAAATGGAGATTTTCCACCACTATCCCTAACAACACAGGGATGTCATAGGTACGTCCCTTTTTTGTCTCGCGGTACAAGGACATGATTGGGGAATCCAGGGGATATGTCCCGCAGTGGTCGTTCAGTGGACATCCCGCCCGGTATACATACATCCCTCGGTTATCCTAAATTCGTGTCTCTGGAATATCTGATATCCATTCATATCAGAGTCATTGAATTTCATCGAAATATTGAATTGAATTTTTTTGAAAATGTTTGTTTCTCTACCGGGAGATAATTGTGATGAAAATAAAGAATAAAGTCTCAGAATTTCTTGAGGAATGACTATTTTTCGCAAACAGAAATCGTACATGCATAATGCCCCTCATTTTTAAACACACAAGAATGATAATAATTATACCCAAATCCTAACAAAGTTGTATTTATTCAGGTTTCTGTTCATAAATCTGTTCAATACTAAATCTTCAGGACGCATAATAGCCAATGGAGTAAGGTGCGTGCCTGATAAGCTTACAGGTGCTGCAGAACAAATAAGTACTTCGTATTATCACCGATGGTGATAGATACTCGCGAGTGGCAGATCTCCACGAGAGATGTGGTAATTTGCCGAGAATACAAGAATATATTCTTAAAATATCGAATGAATTCTACAAATACCACATCGCTGGAAGTGACCTTACCCGGAACATCACACGAACACGCCAACATCACAACATACACAAAAAACACGGGTTGATATATGCATCGACCGAAGTATTTAGAGGACCAGGAGATCTATAGATGGGAATTTCCCGGAGGCTCGGAACTACGCCAGGACTCCTCCCAGCGAGCACAAACATCCCTGGGATGTTTTGTGATGTTTTGAAAATGTTGGCATGAGGATGTATTTTTGAGACGTTATATGACTTCCCAAAGAGGTCTTTGAAGGATATTAAAGTATTGTTTTTGTTCTTCTGTGGCATTTCTTTGTGTGCCTACTGAGAGGTATCCCTGGCCCTGGGATCTTTTAATATTATTGGCATGAGGATGTATTTTTGAGACGAAACATAACTTCCCAAAGAGGTCTTTGAAGGATATTGAAATTATTGTTTTTGTTCTTCTGAGCCATTTCTTTGTTTGCCCCACCACAATTTCTCATGCTCACGTCACAATACGATGAATTATAATTTTTTTTCCGATTTTGCATGTTCTTGTTCGCATTCGCATTTGCGTCTTTTTTATTCATTCCATTAGGTATTAGTTATAATACCAACAACCTCCATAATTCGCCTGCGGCGGACATTGGCTGTTCTATGAAAGTTCTATTCCTGTATGAACAGAACATCGCAGTGGAGGTTCTATGTCTCAACATCTCGTAATTTTAACATCTCTGAGATGTATTTGTGCTCGCTGGGCTGGAAGATCCAGTCTTCCCTATCTCCCAGGAAACGAGAACAACATAGTGCCACTAACACACATAGTGTGATGGAGTTGCTCTGAACTCGGCAGGGGGTGCAGGCACTCCCGATGGCAGGGAGGGGGCGTGTAGGCACACCCGACCGAGAAAAACGAGAAGGAGGTTTTTTGTTCTTCAAATATTTATTTTTCCTCCACAAACACAACACTCACCACTGATAGCGACTGAACAACTCCCCTACCCCTTGGGTACCCTCAGCGAAATTACCTATATAAAGGGCAACGCCCCAGGAGATAGGCCTCTGAGACGAACACCTCGCATATGCACTCCTTGCAACACCAGCCACCTCTGCTACACGCAGAGGATTATAGTCATAATTTTACAATTATACAAATGTCTGTTTTTTACAATGTGTGTGTTATGTTGCGTTGTACCTTATATATACGATAGAATAAACAACTTTAATACTGATGAGCTAAACGTCCCGGCTTCAATCCCTAATCGACCTACATTCTTTTTCCTTATGTCGAAGGGACGTCCTGGGAATATCCTTTCTTCGTACTTGCTACATCGCCTAGGGACGAACCAGAAGGACATCCCTTGAATGTCTTTTTCGTCGACCAGCGGATGTCCCTGGGACATCCCTAGTATGTACGTTGTCCCGACAAAGGACATCCCTGGGATGTCCTAGTATGAAATCAGGGATGTCGTTGGGAAGTCCCTAGGATGTACTGGTGTTGTTAGAGAAGCGTCAATAATTGTATTTCAGAATAATCACTTGTATTTCAGAAAGCAGCAATTGTATTTCAGAATAGTCACTTGTATTTCAGAAAGCGGCAATTGTAATTCATAATAGTGAATTGAAATTCAGAAAGCATCATTTGAATTCCAAATGATATTTCCCGACATACAAATGACACTTCCTAGAAACAATTCACTATTCTGAAAAACAATTGACGCTTTCTGGAATTGAATTGACTATCCTGAAATATGATTACCACCTCCTGAAATACAAGTGAATATTCTGAAATACAATTGACGCATTCTGGAATTCAATTTCAATAAAATATCTGCATTACATAGAGACATTGAAAATACTGTTTCGTTTACCATATGATGCACCAACAAATCAATTATATAAAATAACTGAATCATTAGCATTAGAAGAAATGTTCAAAATTGAAAAACTGAAAATTACATACAATATCATGAATAAAAGATTGAAATCTAATGTAATTTTAACACGAAACAATGAAATTCATAATTACCAAACTAGACAACATGGTTTATTTCATCTTGATATCGCTAATTCTTCTATAGGCCAAAAAAGATTCACCCACGCTGCTCTCTTGAAATATAACAAATTACCAGATAATATAAAAAATTGCATAAATACAATAAGATTCAAATACCAACTTGAAAAATTTATCATTTCTGAACGAAATAGATGATTTTTTTTCAACTTTTGATTCATATTCAAATTGATTTTTGCTCACCAATATGAAATGATTTGTCAAAATTCAATACTTAATGTTTTCAAATATCATATTTTTCATTAGTTTATTATACTTAATTGTATAGTTTTAGGTATTATTGTTAACAATACTTCCTCATACCAGAGTTTGATTCTGACTGGAAGTAACATTTTCAATAAATAAATAAATGAATAAATAAATAAATAAATAAATAAATAAATAAATAAATAAATAAATGAAATAAAAATAATTGACTATTCTGGAATACAATTGATGCTTCCAGAAATACAAGTGACTATAATGAAATGAACTTGGAGCTTTCTGAAATATGACTGAAAAAGGTGTAGAAGTTCATAAAATGACGAAAACTGCATTGGTAGAGAAGAACACAGTTCACGCCATGGAAAGAAGTGAATAATGGTAGGTTCTACAGCTAGTGATGAACAAAATACTGAACTGACCTATCACCACTCATTCCTCCTTGTCAAACTCGTCCCCCACCAAGTTCCTTGGCCGCACCAACGCCACCCGGCTGAACTTCGGACTCGAGTATTTTGTCCTGATGGCCTTCAGCTCCCTCGTCGGCGAGTTCCGGAACGTCTCGTGCTGCCTCCGAACGACGGGGCCAAGCTCGGCCAACGAGTAGCCGCTGGCGCGCCGCAGCTCGCCGGGCCACGCCTGGCGCTTCGAAAGCAAGAAGCGCGCGAGGGCGACGCAAGCCGACGCCAGCTTCGAGGGGTAGTGGTCGAGGTAGGTGGCGCCTTCCAGCAGCACCAGCTCACTGAGGTACTGAAAGGAATTCGGAGTTGAATAACAACAAGACACCGCGGTTCATTCATAAATCATAAAACGTTCACGCAAACAATCCTTAACGCCAAACACGGGTAAATGTATGAAATCGTGAATGGTGGAAATGGTTTCTTGTGCGACTGGGCTGAACTTAGCAAACTGATAGCTGCTGGCGCGCCGCTTCACAAGCACCAGCTCACTGAGGTTCTGAGAAGAATACAGACTTGAATAACAATAGCGGTCCATTAAGAAGTATATACCAACAACGCCAAACACGAATAAATATATGAATTCGCGAATAGTGGGGATTATTTCTTGTGCGACTGGAGTGAACTTCGCGCGAAGCACGTAAGAGTGACGCAACCCAAGGCTAGTTTCAGGTGGTAGTGGTCGAGGTGGGTGGCACCTTCCAGCAACACTAGCATGAAATCGAAAATGTTAGAAATGATCTCTGGTTCGACTGGGCCAAACTTGGCAAACTGATAGCTGCTGGCGCGCCGCTTGACAAGCGCAAAGCACGCGAAAGTGACACGAGCCAAGGCTAGTTTCACGGTTTAGTGGTCGAAGTAGGTGGCACCTTTCAGCAGGACCAGCTCACTGAGATACTGAAAGGAATACAGACTTGAATAACATTAGCTATAGACACCGCGGTTCATTCTTAAATCATTGAAACCTATACGCCAACAATCCTGGAAACCCAACACAGGTGGATGTATGAAATAGCGAATGTTGGGGATGATTTCTTGTGCGACGAAGCCAAACTTGGCAAACTGATAGCTGCTGGCGAGCCGCTTCACTAGCGTGAAGTAGGCGAGAGTGACGCAAGCCAAGGATAGTTTCAAGGGGTAGTCATAGAGGTAGGTGGCGTCATCTAGCAGCACCGGTTCACTGAGGTACTGGAAAGATTACAGACTTGAATAACAATAGCTATAGACACCGCGGTTCATCCATAAATCATCGAAAAGTATATGCCAACAATCCTAAACGCCAAAAATGGACGATGCTCTTCTGAAATATTAACAATTGTACCTCCCTTGGCAGTCCCCGCGAGATTAACCTGTCGAGTTGAGGCTTCGCACCCCATCGTGGTCACTTTGGAGACCTGCAGAACATCTCTTTCAAAGGACTCGTTCATTCAACGAACAGTGAGGCTCTGGAACACATTGCCAAGGGAGGTGTTCGCTGAGGCATATAACCTCCAGGAATTTGAGAAGAACACCAATTCCTACCTTATTTCCCTTGGTTCTCACGATGTTCTCTGAACATTACAGGATATTCCTTCTCATGGGAACCAGAACATATGAAAAAAATTTATAAATTCGCGACTAGGGGAAATGACTCCTTGTGCGACTGGACCAAACTTGGCAAACTGATAGCTGCTGGCGCGCCGCTACACAAGCGCGGAGCACGCAAGAGTGACGCAATTTGAGGCTAGTTTCAAGGGGTTGTGGTCGAGGTAGGTGGCGCTTTCCAGCAGCACCAGCTCACTGAGATACTGAAAAAAATTCGGGCTTGAATAACAACAAGACACCGCGGTTCATCCATAACCCAGGCAACCAGATGACGTTTCAGTGACGTCTTTTTACGTCAGTTGAATGACCAAGGTGACGTCAGGAGTTGACGTCGTATGACGTGATGAATGACGGGGAAAAGTCACAGTCCATTGACGTCATATTACTCACGTTCATTGACGTCATTCAGGTATTATCTACGATAGGCAATATGGCTTCCGTTATCAGAGATCAACTGGTGACCTGCCCGCTTACGTCTCACATATATGGCAGCAATCTATTGAAGAATATGATGAAACCTTAGCCGTGGCACTTGATATCTCCAAAGCATTCTATCGAGTCTGGCACTACGGACTCCTCGCCAAGCTTCCTTCTTATGGCTTGCCTCCCTAGCTATATTCTCTGCTAGCTAGTTTTTTCTCAAACAGGTCTCTCCATGTAGTGGAGTATGAAATCGCGAATGGTGGGGATAGTTTCTCGTGCGGCCTCCGAACGACGGGGCCAAGCTTGGCCAACGTGTAGCTGCTGACTCATTGCAGAAATGTGAAAACTTGGAGTTCGGGTGGATAAATTTTGAAGCAATTTTCGTAATTGGAAAATATGAATAAGAAGATGATAGGAAAAAAGAGGGAGGGATTTTTCACTGAGGTCTAAATCTGCCTATTCCCCAGTTAAAATCACGGAAGGTATGTGACTTGACGCCGGGTTCTCAATCTGCCTACTCCCCAGATCTCGTCACTGGTTCTCTCTGAGGTCTCAATCTGCCTACTCCTTCGAGAGAACTCTCTCTCCAGTGATATTAACTGAGGAGTAGGCAGATTGAGACCACAGTGAACAATCACTTCCTATATTTTCCTATCATCTTTTCATTTCCAATTTTTTCAGTTCTTGAAAATGGCTCCAAAAGCGGTGTCGAAACGTCGAACATCCACAGATTCTAGACGCGGTTCCACCCGAACTCCTCCGCTACGCGTCGCGCATCAAACTTCACACGCGGAAGAAAATGAATACCTTCCCTCCCTTGATATATAAATAGCAATTATGTTCTATACAGTAGGTACAATTTTCTTCAGTTAACAACAAAGATAAAATTCCATTATTCCGTAGGTCAGGTGTCTACAAGATTTCTTGCCAGCGTCCTGATTGTTTGGCGCAATATATTGGTCAGCTGGGGCCAGGTAGCCGTGCGGACATAGTGTCAATATTCTAATCCGCATTTGCTTGCCGGTCGTGGGTTCGATTCCCATCGACTGCAGAAATTTTTCTGATGGCCCAAGAAAGTGTTTGGGATCACAAGTTAAAAGGTAAGGCCCCCGTCATTCCTTGCTCGCACAAGACTTTCGAGGACTTCTGAGGGTTGCTTATAAGGGGGCAACCGAATAATGGATAGAACATTGTTTTTTTTTTTGTAGAAGAAAAGGGGAATTCAAACTCGTGTAATTGAACATTGAAAGCTACAAATATTCTCCTCGAGATTTCTACAATACAAAAAGAGCATTTTCCTATCACAGCCTGAATCAAAATCATCACTTTAGTATCAGTAATGACCTTGGAGTATCACACATTTGCCATATGTGCACTCTCTTGAATTATAGATGACAACATTAAATCCCTGAATAAACAAACACATTATGATTGTCAAAAATTTATCAACGCTTTCAAACTTTGAATATTTTCTCCTTGATTAGAAATTTGCCTCACATTGAATCTATTCTCAGTTTCATTACGGTCCTGCTTGTTTTTGGTATCATATTCTTTGTTTCATACTATAGGATAGTTGTGTGCTATTTGTCAAATGAGACATACTTCACATATATCTCTTTCCAAAGACTCGTTCATCCAACGAACAGCAAGACTCTGGAATACATTGCCAAGGGAGGTGTTCCCCGAGGCATATAACCTCCAGAAATTTAAGAAGAACATCAATTCTACCGCCTTTCCATTGGTTCTCACGATGTTCTCTGAACATTACAGGATATCCCTTCACGTGGGAACCAGAACATGAAAAAAAAATTCCTGTTTGCTGTTCTACCTCTGTCACGGTGATCATGATATTCATGATGGTCTCCATTCCATTTTTAACTGCCTGGATGACGAAGTGTTCGTATCCTCCATGAAGCCCTCTTTGGGCTATGGACACTTTTCCCTCTATCAATATTCACATTTTATTTGAAAATGATAACTGATACAGCTGTTGCCCGCCTTTCTTCACTTCTACATGAATACTAACCTATGTTAATTTCTAGTTTTACGATATAAAAACTCTGCTTTGTAGAAATTGTCTAAAACATGTTCAGATTATTCTGAAAATAATATTTGTGGGTATGAACTAGTGTGTCTTATGTCTGAAAGAAATAACAGAGCACGTCTTTATTTCATTCGATTTTTCGTTCGATAACTTTGCTATAGTGGACTGCGTTCCTCAATGAATTGAAACGTACTTGTACATTGTAGTTAGATTTTCTATGCAGGAAAGTGATAATGTGAATCCATATCTCCATTATCTGGAGTAGTATATTATACTCTTATCAATATTGTGCTTATATAATAGTATATTCAACTGAGACTGGGTGACACGAACAGATCCCCTCAAAATCCTAAAATTCCTGGAGAAATTGAAGCTTGAGGGGCTGCTATATAAACAAGAGAATCTTGAAATAGCAGAAGAAGTTGAGTAACAATAGATCTAATCGGGTCGCAGCGCATCTGTCACCATACACAATTACCAATACCAAGGAGTGCTTTTTGCCTTCTGTGGTCACTCCTGATAGAGAGTTTGCTCAGTGTCCTCGACCGAAGAAACGTGGAGCTGCAAGCTTATGCAGACGACCTTGTTATTCTAGCAAGGAACACGACTGGAAGGGTAGCCTCTAATATCCTTCAAGGTCTACAGTTGGTGCCAGCAGAATAGATGTCTGTCAACCCCAGCAATACTGTTATAAACTACTTACCAGATGAAGTGGGACAGCCAAAAAATTGACTAATTTTGATAACCTATAACTCGAACATTTCTTGGCCGATCTTGCATTTCCAACCAAAGGTAGAAAGCGTCATCCTTGGGCTATGCGTCATTGGCGTCGGGTTTTTATTTTTGCGATTCGTTCTCTCTGTACAGAGTGTGAATTAAGAGCCGGAAAAATTTCAAAATTTTGACCAATTATTTGGGAAATGTGAGGGACCCTAGAATTATTTTTCAGATGTTGGGTGAATGGTTGGTCCGATACCTCGAGACGTCTTTGGAATTTTTTTGATAAATTGCGTTGCTATGGAAAAATCACCATTTTATGAAATTCCATTTTTATTTCAAAATGTGACCTCTTTTAGTTAAACAATAATAGCCAACATCTAAACTGCAACAAAGGATATTTCTACTGAAGATAATCAACACCAGTGACGCGCAAAAAGGGGTTTATGATATTTAGAAACGAAAAATTTGTTTTTATTGAAAAAATTCAACAGTTTTATTGATCGTTACAGTTGAAGAGGTGT